AATGGATAAAGAAGATGTGGTACATATACACAATGGAATATTATTCAGCCATAAGAAGAAGACAAATCCTACCATTTGTCAGCATGGATGGAGCTAGAGGGTATTATGCTCAGTGAAATAAGCCAGGCAGAGAAAGTAACAAATCATTTCACTTATCTGTGGAGTGTAACAACAAAGCAAAAACGGAAGGAACAAAACAGCAGCAGACTCACAGAACCCAAGAATGGACAAAGGGGTTGGCAAAGGGAAAGGGACTAGGGAGGGTGGGTGGAAAGGGAGGGAGAAGGAGATTAAGGGGCATTATGATTAGCACACATAATATTGCCTCACTACAAAGGGGGGGCATGGTAGAGGAAGCATAGCACAGAGAAGACAAGTAGTGACTCCATAGCATTTTACTATGCTGATGGACAGTGACTGTAATGGGGTATGTGATGGGGACTTGATAATAGGAAGGAATGTAGTAACCACAATGTTGCTCACGTGAAACCTGAGCATAAAATTGTACATCAATGATACCTTAAAAAAAAATTTCTGTGACCTAGCCTCAAAAAGTTTTAGTCCTGCAAAAGCCACGTTGCTACAGGGTAATTAAGGTCTTGCCTTCTGCAGGACAAAGCCTGGAACAGAGGCACCAAACATCTTTCCGGACATTCTCAAAGGCAAGGAAATCAAGGAAGAAATTCACCTAAATTGTCTTCTATTTTTCCAGTGATCAGGAGAAAAGCATTCTTAGATTTTCTTCACAAGAAATATGGATTAAATGTTTCTGACAGGCTTGGTGCTGGCAGACAAGAAGATTAAAAAGTTAATTAAAAAATGAGGTGCCAGGCCCAGTGATACTCAGGTTTCCGACAATGCAATGCTCTAAAAAAGCCATTAAGCTGGTGATGGAGAATAACTTTTAGACTCTTATCAATTAAGTGAAACACTCCTATAATATAAACCAGGTACTTCCACAGAGGTTTTTGCCTCACTACAAAGGTAAGGGAGTCACTTCCTCAGAGACAGGCTCAACCTGCCAGGTGCTGCAGAGAGCCTACCATCAATCCTGGGGCATCCATGACATGATCACAGCAACCATGTCCATGGTATAATGAGTACTCATTCATACAGTATACTGGAGACGCTGTCATGAAGTAAAAATAGCAGCCATACCTTGAAGAAAGTAGGTCAAACCTAATAAGAATAAGCTGGTAGGCTTCATCTAGTTTCATTATACTATTCTGTTTACTTTTTCTTTTGAGAACCTGTAATCATAAGTATATTTTCTTCAAAAAGATGAAGAATAAGGAAATGGAAAAAAAGAGGGAGCAAATAATGCATTTCTTCTCATATTTTCCCTAAGGTAGACCTGTCATTATGCAGATTAGGAAAGAAAATCAGTAAGAAGGTGTTTTTTACTCTATAATCCATTTGATACATAGTTTTCCGCCTGCTTTGAAACAGAAATCATTATTCCCAACAGAAGTATCTCTAAATAAAATGTACTTTATCCTTTCCAGGTAGGGGAGAGGGCAGCAACCACTGCAGCCCCTTCAGAACAGACTACAATTTAAAAATCGGGGAGGAGGAAAGGGGAATGATGCTCCTAACTCCTAGCAGCTGCAGGAGAAAGTTCTCCGGCTCCTCTCCTCCATGGCTCCAGGTCCTCCACTCACATCGCCTTGTTTTTGGTCCTGCCTGCCTTTCTTGTAATTCTCCTGGGCTGGGAATGCCCAATGATGTCTGCCCTATTTCTGGGAAGATAAAAGAACTGCTTGATTTTTCTCTAACATTTCAAATGTTTCAGGTCAGAAGCTGAACCTTGAAAGAAAAGGAAATCTTTGAAAACAACTTCAATAGACGGCTTTCCATGTTTACAAATCATATCTAGTTACCAGGTTCAAATAGCTTTTCCATTTTAAACAGTGTATTCATTCATTCATTCATTCATTCATTCATTCATTCATTCATTCATTCCACAGATATTTGCTGGATGCCTCCTTGTGCCTGGTACTACCAGAGAGGAAAGGTATGCACATAGAGGGTTATGAAAATGAGCATGCTAAGTGTTGTGTGTATCTAATCATTCAGGAAAATCATTAATAGGTTGCTTTTAAGCATCTCTAATATTATTTTTGCTTTTAAACTCAGTTTGACTTGTTGATAGAATTCCATACAAACTGTTCTATTCTATTCTTGATTCAGGTAGCAGCAGGAATACTTTATCACAACAACCCTGGCATTCTTCCTGTTCCACTCAATTAACTAAACTTATTTTTCCATCTGCACGTTAACATCAGTTAGTAATCACTTCAACTTGTCCTTTATGAGTATAGGAGGTCTCTTCTGTTTGGTCCTGCACCTGCATTTTCACAACAAAGTGACTTCTGTGGGAATGAGATGAGAAATTACTTACATCTCTTGCCTGGTTATCTTCCCATTTTCCCTAGCCTCTGGTGGGTACAGGGATGTAAGAACCCAGAACAGGTCCACCCCAGTCCCCAGGACCATTTATTTTCCCCCCATGTACCCTTTCCTTCTCATAGCCATCGGGGCCATGTAGACGACCACCATATGGTTCCACCCCGCCCCATATGGCTCCCTCTCCCTAAAAGAGGCACTGAAGAACATAAAAACGCTGCTGTATACTTTTATTGCAGCCCCTTCTCATTTTCCTCCATCTGTCTTCCATATGGTTATGCGACTCTATTAAGCTCTTGCACACACAGGCCTTTTATAATGAGGACTGCCAGTGTGACCATAATAAACAACTAGAATTCACCTCTGTCAGTGTCAAGGGACCTCAATTACTTTAAATATGTCATTCATTAAGTATTCACACCAGAACTAAACCACTTTTCCTTCAATTTGCACATGAAATTTATTATTTTATTTTATGTTTATGATATATCTTTTAATTTTATCGACAAAAAACACATAGTGGCTTTTCTGCTGTATTTTCTCCAAATGCTATATGTGAAGTTTTGGAGAACTGCATGTGACTTCCACTTAGGTGTTCCTATTATGTACACATCAATCACTCTCTAAAGTTGACTTCTTCATTTACACAAAACTCTCCTTTAACCAAAGGAAAAGAAAGATGTTACTATGTTTTCTCTCAAGTGTCTCTGCAAAAATGTGAAGTTTCACACGTATCCTCTGCAAACTTACAGGAAATGAGTAGGAATGAAGAAAGGCTAACCCATAGGAGCCTCTTCCTGTCCTGCTGAGGCCAAGCCACGAGGTCCTGGTCCTCTTTGCTTTGCTGAGCATGTGGCTAATGTGACATAGTTGATCCCTGGGTCAGTATAACAAGTCACTAGACACCACGAAAAACACCATCTCCCAGCAGGAGGCAACTCCTGGCATTAGTAATAGTAATCATTATTGAGTGAATTCTCACTCCTGTGTTAAACAGTGGGAACCTGTCAGTGGGCACCTAGGCCATCTTTCTCAAAAAACTAATGACAATTAGGAAGAAAGAAAAAAGAAATCTAGTTAGGCCTAATATTGGCTTTAATAATTTTTACATTTATTTATATGACAGACACAAAGTCTTACAGCATAGAATCATGGTGTTATTAAAGAGGAGAAAGCATTCAATCCCCACAAACATCTACCCATGTTTAAAGGTGTCCTCTTCATGGCAGGTAATGAGTCTGTAATCTATTCAAACCACCTGTGTAAAGCAGTACATGGAAAATTATGTGCAGCTCCACTGATTATATCTGATGAAGCAGAACATGGAACTAGTGCTCAAATGCACAAAATATTCATCAATAGACATATAAAAGCAACCTAGTAAATGCCCCAAGAATACATATTTCTCTTAGCTTGTTTATATATAAATGACAACTATTGATTTTCCCCCAGAAACATATGCACAATAAGATATTTATTTGAATTTTGAGATCAAACAATAACATCACTGTAGGATATGTGATCAGGTCATTCTTTTTTTTTAAACCTGCTTACATATTACACACATCTTTGTTTCTCTTCATGTCCTTTATAATGAAATATGAGCCAGACATCATGTAGGCTCAGAAAAAACTCCTGGGATGCATGGGAACTCTGGCTCTCACCTAAGCTGTCATTTCACAATCCTTTCTGCTTCAGAAAAATCTGAGGGGTTACTTTGCACTAATTCAACCTATGAATACCTTTTACTGATGCAGTCAGTATACTGCAAACTGAGGGACTCACAGGGGCTATGATGGCAGCAAAAAGTGCATTTGAGACAGGGGATCAAGTTACAGATTTCAGGCTACAGCCTGAGGCATACTACTGGAATAACAGCTCTAGGCTGGAACAGATTACAAATTCTGGTTAAGAGAAGCAAGTGCTTGCCCTTCTGTGATAAAGGAGGTATGGGTGGGTCATTTTGTACATGCAGTGGTGGTATTTCCAAAATGCAGGGGTGAAATAGCTAAATGGGTGTTTTGCTACCAGATTAAACAGAGAGGACAAAAACTCTGCTTAGTAAGACTTCAGTGAATGACAATTTCTCATCTGAGAAGCATTCATATTCTGCACAGCAGGGCTTGCTCTGAGCAGTTTGTAAACCACTTGAAAAAAGGCAGAAGTTGCTGCTAAGCTTATAGTTGCTGAGTTAGTTGCATTAATTGTCCGACATTTCGGCACTTCCCACAAGCCAGGTGAATACTTGCTAACCCCCACCCCTTATATTTCTTCCCATTCAACCCTGGCTATTGAATGCTGTCTTCTTGCCATTGCCTTTAGGTGAGATTTGATGAAAATTGCCAAAGAAACAAAAATACCTGCTTTTGGTTCATTTTTTTTGTACAGCTACTTCCCAGGCAGCTGCTTGGATCCGCATGTGTCCATTTACTGGACTTCAACAAAACAGCACGAGGCCGAGGGGGAGGTGCACAAAGCCTATGCTGTTCCTGCCCACCCCGCTGAGGCGGCAGCGGGAGCCCGGCCCCTCAGGACGCTGACGAGGGCAGCTGCCGCTGTGAGTCTGGGGGGCTGCAGACACTCCCCTGCCTTACCTGTTTCTTTGTCCTGGACTTCTTCCAGGTGCAAGTCATTCAAAAGGTGCTCCAAAATCTTCTCCGGAGTCCCGGACACGACCACGTATCTGTCAGAGAGCAGAGAGTCCACCGAGTCATCCTCGGTCGAAGACTGTGAGCGGCTGCTCCATTCATCGTCCTCATCCTCCTCGTCAATATACTTGAAATAAGGCACATCGAAGGTAGGCAAGGGCAGCTCTCGGTCTGAGAGCGCCGCTGATTCCTTCCTCCCTAAGTGAGGGTCAAAGACCCTCAGCCGGGAGCTGCCCATTGTGAACGGCTACTAACAAAGGCATCCCCTAAATGCTACAAGATCTTGCCATCTCGGTCCCTTCCCCGGGAACTGAGTCCATCTGGCTGCCAAGAGCTCTGCAGTCAGCTAGAACGCTTGGGAGGCGGAGAGAAGAGAGAGGGAGGGAGGGAAGAGGAGGCAGAGAGGGCGAGGGAGACGGCGCGAGAGAAGGGAAGGCAGGCCGGGGAAAGGAAACAGGAGCGCGTGCCGAGGGGGAAACTCACCTCCAATCACTCTCCGCGCTGCCGGCTGGCGGGGCTGGGCCGCCGCTCCGCACTTTCTTCAGCACCAGGACGCTCCGCTCCTGCTCTGTAACCTGAACCGTCGTCACCTCATCATCCTGCTTTAATTGGGGTCGGCAGCGGTGGATGGAAGAAGGAAAAAGCAGAGAAAAATTTAAACCGGGGGTTGGGGAGGAAGGAGCTAACTGAAGCTGCATTTTCTCGAGTGTCTTTCCACAATAATTTCTTTAAAGATTCAGAATAAATTAGGAGTCGGGTCCAGAATTTCCCTCTAGGACCGGTTCAGTGCCCAGGTTCAAGTTCTATGGACACATAAAGCATTAGGAAAACACAAATACTTGAAACGAAATAGGAAAAAATAAAAGTGGGGATAGGATTCAGTGTTCCTTTTTAAAACTACACCGGCTTGAATTAAGGAATCCACAGTTCAAATTTTTAGAAAATACAACATACTGATTGCATGTGTATTCTCTTTTACCTACTTAATGCCTTCTATCCTTTTTAACATAAAGTATATTAAAACTGGAAAGTCATATAACACATCATTTTAGTGTTTACTAAAAACAATGAGCAAGCCATATTAAGTTCTTGTAGTAGACACATATCATTCATTTACATCACAGCCTTACTTTAAAAAGTGGGCAAAAAAAACTACCCACTCTATCCTTCAGTTAATGTTTTTTCTTTTTCAGACATGAGCTGGCCTTCCAATGCATCATGTGCTTGTTTTGCCAGACTACAAGCAAAAATGGATCTAGTTAGAGCCTCATCAAGGCTGAAATTCGGATGTCATGGGTGAGCGCACTGACTGTCTTCACCTCCATCCCTTTTAAAAAGAGAGAAAGCTGAACAATCATTCATTTCTGCAAACGCAGTTTCCACAGCTCAGAGCCAGCCTGGCTGCTGACACGACTCTGTTGGGGTCAGGCTCCCTGCTGATCCAGCAGTGTAGAGGTGACCCTGAGCCATGAATACCAGTGTGAAATTCCCAGTAAGTGATGTGCAACACCCACTAAGTGAAAAGCAGCCCTGCAAAAAAGAACTGTAGACTGCATGTAAGAAAATCTAACTTCTGTCTTTTTGAGGATTTGAGCAAAAGATTTAAGCAAGAAAAGTTGATACTAAGTAGGTTTCACCTTAAAAATGATGTCACTTCTCTGAAAAGGGACACATGTCCTAGAATTCTTAGCATGTTTCTGCTACTGGCAGAAAACCCTACCTGTAATTAGATATAAACCTTAAAAAAAGAGTATTTTCTCCCCCAACAGAGAAAAAGTATTATGTCCATTGTGCCTTATTAATCTGTTCTACAGATCTATCAGGGATGTCAATTTATTTTATTTACCTTTCATAAGAATAGGAAGGCACTAATCTTATCATAATTGCAACCAAATCAATGACAAAATTATGATTTCAACCCTTGATGTCCTGATTGCTAAGAAAATGTAGAGACCTAACTCTTGAGTCTCCAGGATTTTCCTAAAAACAAAAGATACTGGTCATTCTAAACAGCAGTATTATTTTATGATCATTCTTTTTTAATCTTTTAGTGACAAATAATTTTACTATGTAAAACTGATGTATTACATTTCAGCAAGGTCAGACACGCAGTTACTGTGGCAATTAATGTTGGATATTCATTGTTAAATTCCCTGAGGACCACAGTGTGACTCCTGTAACATGAATACCAATGTGTAATTGTTATCTGTCATTTCTCCAAATGGGTTCTTTTGTTATCCATGTGACGGAAGTAAAATATGATGGCTGGACAGAGGGCTGTAGATTGATGGGGGGAAAAAAAAGGCAAAATTTGGTCTGGAATACTGAGACACACAGAAACAATAATTCAGCAAATAGGAGATTTGAAAGGACAAAAATCTTTCCCTGGTTTTCCTCTCATCGTAAGCCAATACTCATTTTATACGAAGCTGCTGTCATTCTGAAGTACATTTTACATTCTACACGCACGTGATATATGGCATTATTAACTTCTCCAGGCCATGCACATACATATGGATGGGAAGGGCTTCTGTAATGTCTGTGCAGCTAATATGTATTACAGGGCTGTGCACGGAGCAGCCACACACTGCTGGGCAGGGGAATAGCTGAATCATATTGATGTACTATCAATGGCGTGTTATGTCATAGTGATAGTTTCCATTTGGAAAACCTGTTAAAAAATAAAGAAGAGAAGAAGCAGAAAAAATCAATGTATAAAGGGAGCCTTAAGTTATCTAAAATTGCCATGAAAATGTAATAACTTGAGATATTATATCTGGGTCTCCCAACCCATATACCCTTCCCTAATTGCTTTTCCTGAAAAAGAACAGAAATACCATGGTTAAAGTTCTGGGTATGAAACTTTATTTTGGTGCTTACGTTGTTAAGAATACAAGTATTTAGAGAACTAACAATGGAAAATATGTTCAATGACAAATAGTTCATGAAAAGCAAGTTAAGTCTTAAAATGCTTAATTCACAGTCATTCATTCAACCAATAGTGAGGGTCTCCTCTGGGTAAGGCACTGTGCTGGCTTCCAAGTGGCAAGCAAAGATGTGTAAGACAAGGACTGTGTTCTTAAATGACAAGTTAATAGGCTCCATAAAAGTGTAAGTCTAACTTGGTAAGCATCCTAAGATGAGGCCAAATGCAACAGACAGCAAAGGAAAGACCCCCTGGGATTTGATCGTCAGAAATGACTGTGGGTGACAGAGAATGGGAGTGCCATTAAATGGCACAAAATTGTACAGAGACCTGGTTTTGGTGAGACTGATGAATCTGGTTTCAGACAGCTGATGTTTTAGAACTGATAGTGCATCATGCTGTAGATGTTTAGTTCAGCAGTTAGAAATAAAGAGCTAGGCTTCTGGAGAAGGGCCAAGGGCAGAGCCAAATTTGTGAATTATTCAAGTTTAAGAGTAGATGAGATTATTAAGAGGGAACAGGAGAGAAAGAGAACAATGAAGATAGGGATACAGGAGGAAAACTATAGAAAGCAGGAGGAAGGGGGAGGGGATCACAGCCATGGAAGAAACCTACTTACAGAGATTAGAAGGAAGGGAAAGCAAGGTGAGCAGGAGAACCTGGAAGGTGCTATCTTGGGAGATGCAAGGAAGACACTTGCCTGATGCTGTCAAGTTTACAAAGGTGGTAAGTCTAAGAAACAGTGCTAATGAGATCACTTTAGGCCCAAAGGTGGGAAGAGAAGTGTTGATGTATGAGGGAGTGGGGATGAGGTGAACAGACAGGGACGACCACATCCCAGGAATCTCAGCATGAAGGGAAGGAGTCAGGTGACAAGCCTGCGTTGGCTGGAAGAGCAGTGAGGGGAGGCGCATGCCGGGAAGAGGTGATGGGATCAGGAGCAAGTAAAGGGGCCAGGCTCTGAAAGAACTGAGATTTCTCCCTTGCAGACAGGATCCAGCGATCAAGGGTGGGGGGCAGACTTAGAAAAACATTAAAGTAGAAAATAAGGAAGCTGAAGTGAACATATAAAATGACTTCTATCTTCTTAGTAGAGTGGAAATTGAGACCATCTTTGGGAAGGAGGAGTTTCGGGGCAAATTTGGTGGCTGAAAGAGAGTATTATAGGAAAAAACGGCTTCAGGGGTTACAACAGGTGATAAACAAGTTATGCAAAAAAGGAAGGCCAGGCAGGCTTTGTGGACTGCTGAGGGTGGAAAACACATGTTCCTGGTTTTCTGCTTTTCTGCTGAAGTGCTCAGAAACCTTAGAGGGAATGGAAAGGCCCGCCCAGACGGGACTGGCAAAGGATACAACAGGAGGTAATGAGGGTAGGGCACCTGGGTGGCTGGCAGCACATCATGAAACAGCTCCTCACCTTATGGTGTCTGTCTGGTTTAGGAGAAGAGGAGCTGATACATGGGAAACACAGCGGGGGTGAGGACAAGTCCCCACAGGAGGTAAAGGAGCAGGCAGGGAAGGGAGCAGGTGGAGGCTTTGATCAGGAAGGCAAATACCTCAAGCGGAGCCTTTCAGAGTGGTGAAGACGGAGCAAGAGAAGAGCAGCCCCTGACATCCAGGAGCTGGCCTGGCAGCCACAGCTGGGCCTTGGTGTTTCTGCCGTTGAAAGTCAATGATTTTGCACAAAATCAACATCAGACAAGACCACTCTGTGCCCATGATAGAATACAACAAAGACGTGGCAACTTGGTAATCCTATCTGAATACAAAGCATGGACATCGGCCAAAACAGAAAATACCAAAAAGCCCAGATAATGAGTGACTGCTGCTTCCTTCCCAATCACAGCTCCAGCTTTGCTCTGATCTGCCTTTCCTGGAGGTGAGATTTAAGATTAACAGTTGGACAGTTACCCGCTTTCTTGACAGTATCTAACCCAGAGCAAAGCCCTGCTTCCTTAAACCCTCCAAAAATCACCTAAAACAAACCAAGTCTGGAAGTCCTTCCTCCACGCACCCTCTTACCCCGAGCTGCCCTCGTGGTTCCCCATGGGTGAGGTCTCCCTCGCGGCTACAAGCAACACACCCAACCTACGCAACACACGTGTGTTCTCAGTGGTCTCTGGCCAGAGGATATTGACAGGAGTTGCCACTGGCATGGAGTGGTGTGGTGATGGTGGTCATTATAGTCAAGGATGGAAAGCATTTCTTTGTCAGGGCGATGAGAGAGTCATGCACAGGAATGTTCGTGAAAGCGACAGCAGGGTATCAGGCTTAGAAGATGGTGAGGTCAGAAGCAGATAACAAAGCTACTGAGGAAACTGAGAAGGCATGGGCGGAGGAAAGATGAGCCAAGCAAGTGGCACAGACCTGAGGCCAGAAGGGGCTTCTGCAGGTATGACAATGAAATGGACGGTGAAGTGGCAGTAAGGCCTACTGTCAGGAGGCACTGTGCTCCTTCAGGCCTCTGCCCTGGGCGCTCTGCTCTGGTTTGTACACATTCGGTGAGAACTTCCCTGCCTCTCCCCAAGACACACTTGAGCCCCCAGATCTGCAGAAACCAGTTTTCTCTACTTTCTTGAAGGCAATGTGGAAAGAGCAAGAAACTCCAATAACCAGTTCAGATGGATTCTTCACACATTTGCCTTTGGGATGAGTGGGGAGGTCGGGGAGGACAGG